GTGCACATTAAACTAATTAACAATTCTAATCATTAACAAAACCGCCCAGTATCAAAGCACGTACAGTTAGTCCAGCTTTGTTCAGTTACAAGACGGGGGCTAAGAGCTTGCTAGTCATCTCCTTTGCGTGATTTTCAATCAAAATTTTGGTATGTATTGTTGTTAGTAAGGATAATTATTTAATATTTTTACTTTTTCGGTCACATCCTCAAGGCTAAGGTCTTTTTCAAATGAAAGCTCTTCAGCAATACTTTCACATGGTAGTATTCACTCTGCTATCAAAACTCAGTGGTTCAGGTCGCTTATAAATCTGTGGATGATATATATATATATATATATATATATACATATTTTCGAACGTTTTGCTAATTTTACAAGGCAATCCCCATAATTACGTGTTAACTGAAAAGTGATTTAGACGTGCCTGTATGGAACTATAAGGTGTCGTTTGGAAGGTTATGCAAGTTACGTTATGCAAGAGCATTTCGAGGCATCTCTGTCAACCTAAACAAGTGAGTGTTCTTGTAAATATCTCAGAGTCATGCCATGCTATGTGTTTACTGAGCAGTGTTCTTAAGCGTACTTGCAAGGTTTCTTTCGGGCTTGATAAGCTGTTTAAGGTTACGTAAGTTATGCAATAGCTGTGAAGTTCAACCAGAAGTTTGTCCCCAGTGTTGGCAAGCACCTAACCGAAAAAGATGTCACTTCATCACAATTGAAGCAATTAAAAACCCAATCAAACTTTAAAGCTTAAAATTATTATTTTCAAAGGAAACAAGTTCCACCAGGAATTGAACTTTTCTCTGCTTTTAATTAAAATTAAGTCCAGACGTAGTTAATCGATAGAAATCGATATCGGAAATCAATCGATTGATATCGAAAATCGATAAAAATCGAAGTCACAGAAAAAATAATTCATCGATTATCATATAGATTAACAAAAATTGATAACAATCGATAGTAATCGATAACAGGCAATAATCTTGAAGTGAACATTCTGAACATGACGATGCTATTAGGCAAGCAACACCCTCGAGACCGGCTTATCACATTTTATCATTGACTTCAGCAACTACTCCAGGCGCAGTCTTCATCAAGTTCCTTTTTTTGTTGTTTCTTTCGTTTCCTCATTTGTTTAACAGATGTTTACGTGTCCATTTAATCCTGCGCTATCGACTGCATCTTGCATTTCTTTCCTTGCAATCTCGCGGACACTGGAATCCAATTCAATTCGGTATATACACGGGCATTGAAGTCCTCCAGATGGCTGCCATCTTCTGCCTTAAGGAGTAGTGCTTGGTATGTTCTATTCTTATGGAGTCTGCTTCAGCGACATAAAGTTGTTTTCTGCCACTTTCACAGCAATTTCTTTCCTTATTATGAACTGCCGGCTTAAGCTAAAAAATCAAAACAAAGAGAAATTTGTTCCTGTTAGGNAAGCACCTAACCGAAAAAGATGTCACTTCATCACAATTGAAGCAATTAAAAACCCAATCAAACTTTAAAGCTTAAAATTATTATTTTCAAAGGAAACAAGTTCCACCAGGAATTGAACTTTTCTCTGCTTTTAATTAAAATTAAGTCCAGACGTAGTTAATCGATAGAAATCGATATCGGAAATCAATCGATTGATATCGAAAATCGATAAAAATCGAAGTCACAGAAAAAATAATTCATCGATTATCATATAGATTAACAAAAATTGATAACAATCGATAGTAATCGATAACAGGCAATAATCTTGAAGTGAACATTCTGAACATGACGATGCTATTAGGCAAGCAACACCCTCGAGACCGGCTTATCACATTTTATCATTGACTTCAGCAACTACTCCAGGCGCAGTCTTCATCAAGTTCCTTTTTTTGTTGTTTCTTTCGTTTCCTCATTTGTTTAACAGATGTTTACGTGTCCATTTAATCCTGCGCTATCGACTGCATCTTGCATTTCTTTCCTTGCAATCTCGCGGACACTGGAATCCAATTCAATTCGGTATATACACGGGCATTGAAGTCCTCCAGATGGCTGCCATCTTCTGCCTTAAGGAGTAGTGCTTGGTATGTTCTATTCTTATGGAGTCTGCTTCAGCGACATAAAGTTGTTTTCTGCCACTTTCACAGCAATTTCTTTCCTTATTATGAACTGCCGGCTTAAGCTAAAAAATCAAAACAAAGAGAAATTTGTTCCTGTTAGGGTTTTGTTCTTTTAGTATTTTATCAATTAAAAGAACTGCATAATATCACGACTGCATGAATGATGACTCAATAATACAGTACGGACATCACCGTGTAAACGTTGAACTTCTACCGAATGACGCAAGTCTTCCCGATAATAATCGATAGTAGTCGATAACCACCGATAACTCAATCATCATCGAGTTCTATCGGAAATCGATATTCATCTATGGTTGATGTCGATCACTTTTATTATCACTATTATCGATTATTATCGATAATCGGTTTTTCGATTGACTACGTCAGGATTTAGTGGACGGTGCAGCGTGATTCTCGGACAACCAACTACAAATGTTGCAGTTACAGACGCTTTTATAAAAACAAAAATTCGCACTGCATATAAAGAAACTCCGCAAAACTGACAAAAAGAAATTTCCCAAAGAGTAAGAGGGTTAACTGAGAAATTTTTGGCGTTTCTATCTTAGGTATGATTTAACAAAAAAAATTCACTCATGAGCGGTGAAGCGAAATAAGTGACGGAAATTAAGGAAAACTCTAGAAACTGAGAAAACTCTAAGGTCAATATACCGTTCAAATGACACGTCATGAAAAGATTATAAAATGGGCGCGCTTTTTTTTCCCCCTCGTCTCCTGTTCAGCCCGGGCTTAAATTTTGTTCTTGCAATCGCAATTTCAAAACGAGGCATTTGCTCAGGGTGCCCGGGTTGGAAAGGATTCGAATCCCACCGATATTAAAAGAATTTTTCTTGCCTTTATGGTCTCCCATTGCTCAGTAATTCCCTTTCTTAGGGCTAACGCTATTATCCGTTATTTGTAGCACTTGAATCTTCACTGCAGATTTAATAGTGAACAAGGCTCTTTAATGGTGATAAGGTGAAAACCCACCGCTCAACTGAGCTTTCATTTTCTGTCATTTGAGTGCCACTGTCAGGAAATATTTTAAGTATGGTTTTTTGCAGGATTTAGACTTTCATTGCCAACAGGAGAATGAAGGAACACTTGGAGGTCAGTTAACTGGAGCGTACTAATTATGCTATTATGCTGTAATAGACGGTTTTCACTGTGACGTCATCAAATTGTAACTGTGAAAGTCAAAATAGCGAGGTTTTACGAATTCATAATTACACTAGGTTGAAGATAAACAAAAAGTAAATCTTTGTACAAGTTTCCATTTCCGTAGCATGTGTCGTTTCGAAAATACAGCGATTTGAACTTCCGAGTTTTCTCAGTGCGTGACACCAAAATAGGAAAGCTGTCTCGTTGAAAAAAGTCTCTCCTCTTGATTTTCAGCAGTATAACCACTTCAAGTATTAGAGGATATGTTTATGCGTACATATGCTAGTTCTCGAGTGAAAAGAAAGAGCTTTTATAGAAAAAGTGAACTCCAGATGTTTTTGTTGACTGTCCGGCGGCCATATTGGTGCACCAAAACGGTGCACCATTATATGGCGTCTACAAAGGTGCGTGAAACGTTTCTGCAAATAACTCAGAAACTGTGGGCCACATGGACCTGAGACTAGGAAACATTGTTTATGTATTAGTAATTTATAACATCTCATTTTCTTGGCTTCTTCCACTGGACGGTTTCCAATTTAATTTATTGTTTGGTGACAGTGAAAACGATCTATTATGCAATTACAGTAGAACCTCTCCTTTTGCCCGGGGGGTGGGGGGGGGGGGGACCGCCAATAATGGGGTTTTTTAAAATTTTTTCTTTGAAACGGGGGGAAATAGGGGAAAAATATTTACCGACCCACAAAGTGGGGGGGAAAATATTCCAAAACCACCATTTCCCCGAGATGAAAAAAAAAAATTGTTTTGTTAAATACACACAAAGTGATACAAAAAAAATCAAAGAGAAAACAA